CTACGATGCTAGCCCCGGGCTGCCAACCCACTCTTGTTTTGCCACGGTTCATTCCCCTTCAGAGGGAAGACGGAGTTTATTCTCTGGTCTTTGTTCAATTTAGACTCACCCCAAACTCTGAGCCGCTCTGAAATGATGTATCTCTGTTGCTAGTAGTTCAATTAATATTTTAATACCCACACCCATCTTCATACGAGGCCGTGAGCCAATCTTCTCCAATGACTAATATATGGCCGACAGAGAGTGTTACACATGTGCTCGCCGAAAACAAGCAACGAGGGGGGAGAAGAAGGGGGTTTAGTCAAGCTGCTCTTCCCCCAAATAGGGACGTAAATCATCTCTGAGGATGATATTTCCAGCTTATCCTAAAAGACCAAAAGCTTTTTTCCCCCTCAGCTGCGTGGAAATTAAATAAATATTTCCAGATAAACAACCAGACAGTTAAACATCCACCTCTCCAAAAGCCAATTGCCCTGGGCTTTTATTAAATATCGATTTGATTTGTAAAAGGCCAGATGCTGTGGGGTTAAATAAATGTCATCTTCTCCCATTCCAGTTTACTTTTCTTGTCTTCTCCGTCGGTGACATTTTGTCTTGCTGTGTGTACACAGAGCAGTAAAACCAGCGGCCAGAGCACACCCATCCCGACCCAATCCAAACACATGTAGAGTCCTGCATTCTCTGCATTATTAGCAAATTCATCAGCAACCAGACCCCAGTGTAAGAATCCAGTGTTATTATTCGTGTTAATGCACAAAATAAAGTGAAGCAATACCTCCTTGTGAGAATTGCTTGTCAACAACAGCAGGGAGGGACAAGGCATCCTCTGACAACAAGCCATCTTTGAAACGCCTCCAAGAGGGAAATGGCATCCATTAGAGACATACAGAAAATGTGTGTTCACTGTGGGGGAGGTTGGGGGGGGGGGTCCAAATCACACAGACACACATACACACAGATAATTGTTTATCCCTGGGAGAACCTTCAGTGTTTGTCTGCGGGTGGCTAAGTAAGTTCACCGGCACTATTGGACAGGGAGTGCCCAGCAGACCCAAGGCTCGAAAAACATTAGGATGAATCAATTAGGCTGCCATTAGCCAATAAAGTGGCCCTCACTGAGTCGTGTAATTATGACCCACAGCAAAGCCAATTTTATGGAGGCACATTATCCCTTTTCTTTTCTTTATTAATTTTATTTGTTTGAGATAATCCCTCCATGGTTTTAATTATGTGCCTTCGGTTCAGGGTGGAATAAATAAATCATAATTTGCTTCCATCACGTCTGAACACAGCAGGTCTGCGGTTTTCCTCCATGCATTGAAGCTACCTATCGCAAGACAAGAGGCCACTATGTGTGTCATCGTTGTCAGGATCGCACTTACTCGCTTCAATTAAAAATGAACACCGTCGCATCCTTTCTGCGGGATCCACATTAACCCCACTCGGAGCGGGTTCCCATCAGATTGCATGATAAGAGGCAGCAGGAAGAGCTGATATTATAGGCAGCAGCTACTTAGCTTGTTACCAGCTCAGAGGACACTGTGTAAGTGTGACAATGTGCTGTCAATGAGGGATGACAGTACACAGCCAACATGGCGTAATGCATTGTTCCTTCCTGGGTCCCTCCTGACAGATGCTCTCCAAGACAGCTGGATCAGCAGCAAGAATGGAGCTGGAATCTGGGCTGCGTACGAGCGGAGGATGTGATACGCAGCTGATTAGCGAGGGTATACACGTGTCAACAAGCGAGGCCTGGGGATCATGTCGGAGTTTGTGTTAATTGTCAGTTTAAGACACGTTTACCTATTTATTTCTAACGTAATGCTCGGCTCTGAGTATCTAGCCCTGTTGAATGTAGTCGTTTGCTTTCCATTTGTCCATGACCTTTCTTATTCCATTCCTCTAAAAAAAAAAGACAGTCAGCCTACTAGTGTTTTTTCTCTTTGCCTTCCAAGAGATCTCCTAAGAAATGACCTTCTCTGCAACAGCCGCTCTTATAAGACTGATGTTGGAGGTGCTTCAAGCCAAGTAAAATAAACACTTCATGAATGTTAAGCTGGAACTTGGCAGACGTGAATCGAATCCTTTCTGTGGACACAGGGAATTTTAATGTTCCATTTTCATTTGACAGTCTAGACGTTTTATGAGTTTGAGAAGAAATCTGGCCTTGGGTTTTTGGTAGAAACATCTGAGAAGAGCGTCCTCCCTTAAATTTGTGTGCTGGTGCTCTTTGAATTGTGCTATTACTTAGCGCTTTTGTGACATTTTTTACCCTACCCAAGTATTCCAAAGTACTGGGGTCAGGAGAACTGTTCAAAGCAATAGGCCGAATTTAGAAATTTGAGTGGAGCCATTCTGTCAGTCCTCGAACCTCGTAATGCATTTCTTATTGTGCACTTGTGTCAACGTTGTTTTCTTTCTTCTTCTTAGTATGTACCGCTATGAGCTCTTTTCCTGCTGAAAATGACTTCCAGAAAGTGAAGCTCATTTTCCTTCATGGGATATTGTGGTGTGCTCTCATTTTAACACCCACTTTAGTCTGGTATTTATGAGGTGGTAACTATAGAGAGAAACTGCCTCTCCATACTGGTGACTGTTCAGGAGCTGGGGCGCGGCGGGGGACTCTGCTGATGTACGTTAACTAAAGCGGACAGGCGGGTTTAGAGTTTCTGATGGAGCAGGTTTGATCGGGTCATAACGCGGCTGCAGTCGCGGCGGTGCAGAGGTAAGGCGGGTGTGAAGCCATCCGAGAGTTTTCCCCCTCCAAGCCCGTCCATACATTACAGGAGTGATGAAGGAGTCTGGGTAATGAGACAGGATGTTTGTACAGTCCTGCCATCCCAAGAGACCCTCCCCCCTCCTCCTCCTCCACCCTCCACCCTCCACCCTCCACCCTCCGCCTCCTCCAACACTCCTCCCACACTCAATCTACCTCCCGCTGAGCCTGTGGCCTGAACCCCTGACCTCTTCCACTCGCCAACAGTTGCCATATTTGCATTTCCAGTCCACTTAAAGCCAGTGTGTGTGTGTGTGTGTGGGGGGGGGGGTGACTCAGGGAGCCCCCTCCTCATCCTCTGCTAGTACAGCAGGCCTCATTCTCATCCCAAATGACCCCCTGCCCAGGCCTACCAACCCGGACAGCAGTCTGGGGTTAATGCACCAAGCACTCCCATTGTCTCTGAATTAATGAAGTGCTCCCTGCCTGTCCCTTCTCATTCAATGACAACGAGACAAATGACAAATGGTAACGTTTTAAATGGCTATCGACATGCGCGGGACGTAAAGTCACAAGATCGTGTTAGCACGGTGGCCAAGGCCCTGCGACGACAATAGCGGCTGCCGTCGATGCACTTTCGATGTCCACTCTGGGATCAATTTGCACCCGAGCAGCAGCACGCTCCATGCAGGAGAAGGTGTTTTATATTGAAATGGATGGTTCTCAGATGGAGGAGGAAGAGTCAGAGCCTGAGAGTGTTTTCACCTCAGAAAATGGAAGGTGGGACATGAATCTTTTAAAGAATGGCAAGGGAGACCTCTAGTGGAAGGCAGCGGTATCCATCCAGATTGTTGTTGTTGAAGAAGCTGAAGATTTATTGTACTGAGTGTGTACTTAACATTTTGTTTCATCAGATCACGTCAGGTCAGTTGACATTAATCACACTGTAGACTGTGCTGTTTTTAGGTGTAAATCCAGCTTCTTCCAGTATCTGCCACCAATAAGATCTAAATGTATATTTAATATACACACAGTAACAGCCTATACTGTGCATTGTGTCCATTTTTTACTACTAATTCTTTTCAAATTGGCTTCTGAAGAATCAGATATAGTACGCCCAAACAAACAACAACTATGGCAGCTTAAAGGGTATCACAAAGATAATAACAGTAATGATAATAATAATAATATTAAGGAATGGAAATAAGGAAAAATAAACAGATTATGGAAGTGATTCAAGCAGCACTGAGAAAAAAGAGGTGGGAGAATTATCAGTGTTGTCCTCCCCAAATACTGTACCTTGTATTTTCAAGATGAAGGTAACACATCAAATCAAGGGCAGCAACTAATGATTATTTTTCATCATTTGTTGTTTTAGTGAATCAGTGAATATCTTGGTTTTTATCAAGTCTCAGAAAATAGTGTAACACAGATTCCTGAAGCCCAAGGTGAAGATCAAATGTCTTGTTTTGTTCCAAAGATATTCAGTTTACAATGATATAAGCAGCATGATATTCACAACTGAGATGCTGGAACAGGGACTGGATAAAACTCATATGAACAATTAATTGATTGTCAAAATCATAGTTCTGGGCTTACATTAAAATAGAAGTCAATTCCAAATAGATATCAGTGTTCTCTGTGGCTGTGATCCTGTAGTATGACTCAAGATGTATTTGTGATGTAATGTTTTTTTTATATATATACTGGAATCTGCCTTCAAATGTGCCATTAGTATACTGGAAACATAATATATGTATGCAATGTACCAAGCCTTTCAAAAACCAATACAAATTTTAATTCTAAAAAAAGTTTGAACTGAATGACTGACACTGCTTCTCCCTCACATCGTCATCAAACCTTGGGCCCAAATCAGCCTCCCAGTCCTGCCTAGCAGTGAGAGCTGGAGAGAGTCCAGACACAGCTCCTTTGTAAACAGTCATTTATAAAATGGTGTGGAGCTGCATTTCTAGAGCATGAAAACGTGTCCCTTATTCCCTTTTAGCATCAGAACGTTGTCATTAAAACAAGAGATAATCAAACCAGTTTCAGTCTCTGTAGTGGTGCTTAACCATCTCCTTTACTGAGGCAGAGGATTCGTCCACACTCTGCTTGCTGTGTGCGACATGCTGCATCACTCACACTGAGCTGGTGGATGTGCGGGTGCAGCTCAGCGGTGTCAGACGTGCACTTGTGCTCCGCAGCTGACAGCTTGTTACGGTGCATCACGCCACTGTAGGTGTGACCTTTATGGCTGACCTCTGACCTCCTCCTGTCATTGCAGTGCTGAGTATCCGCGGCGCCCAGGAGGAGGAGCCCCCGGATCCCCAGCTCATGCGGTTGGACAACATGCTGCTGGCAGAGGGAGTGTCCGGTCCGGAGAAAGGCGGAGGCTCGGCGGCGGCTGCAGCAGCGGCAGCGGCCTCGGGGGGAGCAGGGCCGGACAACTCCGCAGAGCACTCTGACTACAGGGCCAAGCTGACCCAGATCAGACAGATCTACCACACAGAGCTGGAGAAGTATGAACAGGTGAGACTGCATATATAAACACCAGAGCTTTCATTTGTATTGACTTACAGGAAGCACTGATTGGTACAGAGTGAGAATATGTAGAATACAGCATTATTACTATGAGAGTATGTATATGGCTCAGATCTTACAACTATAATAATAATACTAATTGTAATCTTTATTTATGAAGTGCTTTCTGAAAGAGAGAAAGAGAAAGTTTTTAATACAGGTGTGTTCTCCAAGCTTGAGCTGCAATAACCCTTTTGCTAGGGGTTTAGGGCAGGAACAAAAGATTTTCGACTAATCTGTTAATTGTTTTGTGTATAAGATGTCAAAAAATAAGGAAAAGTGCTCTTCAGAGTTTCCCAGAATGCAATGTAACATCCAACCTACAGGACAGCAGATATTCAGATACACAGTTATGTAAAACAGAGAACAGCAGCAAAACCTCAAAGTATGAAGCTGGAAACAGCAAATGTTTTGCTTCAACTTTTGGTGAATAATTGTCTGTCAGTCAAATAATTGTTTAATCAACTAATTGTTTCTCCTTCAGCGACACAAAAGATAAACCACAACAGGCTGAGTGGCACTCTTGCTAACAACAACACAAACAATATGTCAAATGTCTGAGTTTTTTGTTGTTTTTATATTTTTGTCAAGAGGAATGCCCTGCCTGTTACTGAAAACCAAATCTACCTATGGGTACAAATAAAGTAACCTAACTTAACCTTTATTGACAATGGTAGTGGACATTGTCTTATAGAATCCAACATCAAAACATATAACAAAAGAAAACACATCAACATGTAAAACAACATACAAGTGTCATTAATATGTATGAACTTTTATCATCAGTGGATTTTCACCTTATGGTTCATGGCTATACAGCTGACCACAATTCCCTTTGTAATGAAATTCAGATCTTTCGATCAACAGATAAATAATGTATATATAATAATTACTAATATAATCATTTTCAGTAAAAATACAAACAATCATCTTTTTTCCAGCTACTCAGTTGTTGCTATTGTCGGTTTTATTGATTTGATGGCAAACTGAATATTCTAAAGTTTTGGACTACTGATCAGACAAAACAAGACATCTTATGGTGTCACTTTGACCTTTCTGATGGTCATTTTCATTATGGTCGACATTTTGGCAAATGTTTTGCAACCAAGACCCCCTCCACTTAAAAATCAGTGTTTCTTCTTGTGTGCTGTTTGAATGCTGTATGTGCAGAGTTTGACTCTAGAAGGATGTTTTCACTTTCATCTGCTGAAAGTGGAAAGTTTCTCTGTGCTCATTGAAAATCTGTTTATATCATTGCTGAGCTGGTCCCACTTTTCAGTTCTTCTTCTTTTTAATCCAGATTAAACTGATGCAGGATCAGCTTGGCAACCCTCATAGACTCAAATGTTTCCTCAATATATATCACTGTCACTAAGAATTCAACTCTAGATTGTGTTCTCACCCCAGAATAGTCCAGCATATGCACCATGTTGTGTGTGTCTGTGTGTATTCCAAGTATAGTCTTGAAAGTCTGGGGGGGGTATGATTTCCTCTCATTGCCTTGATAAGCGATGTATTCATGACAATAGCACCCCTTTCAGATGAATGCGAGTGAGACAGATGAACACGCAGATAGACAGACACAGACAAAGCCTGACACGGCTAAATCCAGAGAGAGATCGACAGGAGGAGAAGAAATAAAGAAGAGGAGACAGTAAGAGACACAGAGTCGGAGTGTAATATCGTGGCAGATTCACGCCTGGTGTCACACGGGGGGGATGAATGAAACGTCGTGGCATGTTCATCTCTCAGGGTGGCTATGCTGTGAAAGTGTGTGTCTGAGAGGGGAACAGCTGTCATTGGTTCCTCTCAACAAACTGCCATCACCACTTCTGTTAAATATGAAAAATATCAGCGCTTATATTCCCTCTTGGCTCTGTGAGAAAGCTTGCTCCAGAACTACATTAAGCAAAGAGCTGGATTGTCGATTTCTTTGGTCTGTGATTTTTAAATACTGTCATTGTGTGTGTGTGTGTGTGTGTGTGTGTGTGTGTGTGTGTGTGTGTGTGTGTGTGTGTGTGCGCACAGTGGTGAATTCGACATGGCCACATGGACAAATCAGCCTTATTCAGTTTTATTAACTTTAGGGGAAGTATTTTTGGGTATACATTTTTTAAATTCCTGTGCGTGTCTGTGTGTGTGTGTTTCATCCTTACAGGCGTGTAACGAGTTCACCACCCACGTGATGAACCTGTTGCGGGAGCAGTCGCGCACGCGGCCAATTTCGCCCAAAGAGATCGAGCGCATGGTGAACATCATCCACCGCAAGTTCAGCTCTATCCAGATGCAGCTCAAACAGAGCACCTGCGAGGCCGTCATGATCCTGCGCTCCCGCTTCCTCGATGCCAGGTGTGTGTCCTTGTGTACACGAGTGTGTGTGCACATCTCCATTCTGCAAACCGTGCACACCACGCTCCATGCTGCAAATAGCCTCCCAATTTAACAACACTGCACATCATCATATGCTCCCCTCTCTGCCTGATAACCATATGAATGGCTGATGTAGGAGGCCTATCATGCTATAAACATGCTGTAACACATGCTGTTTTTGCTACTCACCACACACATTGGGATGGTTTACATCTACGGATGCCATTTGGACCAGCATACCCAACAACACTGGCCAATAAGAGTTCCCTGCGTGCTCCATAACACTAACTGTTTCCCTTTTTTAATGTAATCGCTTGTTCCTTTTGATGCGTGCTTCGGATTTGCATACATTTCTCCAAGGATAAATGTCGCTCAAAGTCTGAGTTGGAGGCATAACATTTAAATGAGGCATGCGCTCCCTTACAAAGCTCCCTATCTATTCTCTTGCAAATTATTGTGGTGGTGCAGCAGCAGCGAGGGGAAGGGAAAGGGAGAGGAAGAAGAGAGCTTTCACTGGTTGAGAGGCACTGCCATGCTCGGCTCCGCTGATTAATCTACTGGCTGCTGGAGCCCATGCTGTGCACATTTACATATTCTCAAGCAGGCTTTTGGAGTGATTTTAGCACAAATCTCCTCACCGGTGGATACATGCATGGAGATTTTACAGGGTTCCCCTCCAGCTTATGTAAAGCCCTCTTTAAATGTGGCACATGCAGATGTGACCTGATAGGTGCATGAGATAGGGGGTCAGTCAACTCATGGGCATCAGCATATGATATCTGTCTGCTTCAAGGTGTTATTATTCTATATCCTTGAAGTCTTGTATATCAAATTAGGAATTACATTTTTGGATACTATATACCTGACTTTCAGAACCAACACCAAAATAATACTTTTTTAACGCTTGCTTTAAAGGTCTAGTGTGTAACATTTAGGTGGATCTAATGTCAGAAATGGAATATAATATCCATAGGTATGTTTTCATTGGTGTATAATCACCTGAATATAGGAATTGTTGTGTTTTCGTTACCTTAGAACGAGCCGTTTATCTATAGTGGGAGCGGGTCCGCCATGTTGAACTGCCATGTTTCTTCAGTAGTCTAAAACGGACAAACCGAACACTGACTGTAGATAAGGCTTTTCGCGTTTTTTGGCTACCATTATTACTCCTTCGCATGCGGGAGGGGTGAGTGGAGGGGTTTTCGGTTAGTTGTAATCTGCAATCTCACCAGTAGTTGCCACTAAATCCTACACACTGGCCCTTTAATGCTGCTCTAATTAATGTGTTTATATTGAAAACGGATCAAATGACCCAATGAGCTGTACAGATGTCTTTAGTGTCTTTCAGCTCGTTGTTTTGTTTTTACAGGCAGTGACTTTAACTGTTTTGGTTCAGTCTCACGGCTCTCATCAGCCTCATTGCCAAGCAGCTGTTTTCAGCAAAAGAGCTCTGATAAACCCACTGAACACTAGCTGGTGAACAGTGGAGCATTTAGCAGCTCAATAGCCAGATAATTCCCTCAGGAGTTGGTGGAGTGCATGTTGTACTTTCATCAGGTGGCCAGAAGCACAGATTCAAATGAATGCTAATGTGTATGTCTGCCAGAAGTGTAAATAAGCAACTGTGGGCGAATATTAAATGTTTTTCTACAAATTTGTTTTATACTTTAACAAAAGAGGCCACTTCTTTATATAACCACAAGCCACAAAGTACAGGAACGTTGCCTAAAATCCCTTCTAAAATGAGCAAAATTGGAACATTCTGATTAGCGAATAAGGAAGAAAGTTTGCACATTTTGTACTTGACTTTTCAGTACTTGGTTCATGTATTTTATTCAGTACTGAAAAAGTATTATGGTTTGATACCCAGCCCCACCAATAGCTCTTTCTTTTTCATTTATCAAAAACATATACAGTTTATTCTTCATATTATATTCTAATTGATACATATTTCCATTAAATGTGTCTCTTTCAAATGTTAATTCAGACTATGAATTGTTTTGGTTTTTCCACAACTAATAGTGGATTTTGAGTAGATTGTAATGTCCCTCTATGTGCTGTTATCGCCACTGCTAATTCTTTTTTCAGTTGCTCATAAACAGAGCTGTAGTGAAGCAGTCTGAGGCCAAATTGTTCTCCTGAGTCCTGACAAAGGGTCTCAAAACAAAGCTGCAGCTAAATTGAAGGTTTCTAGAGTGGCAGAGGTTTTCACAAAAGCAAGTAAAGTTCATCCAATGGAAGACCAGGGAGACCTAAAGAGACCAAATTATTTTAAAACCAAGATACCATCAAGCTAACATCTTGAATGCCATAGTTTAGGTGACTGGTGTTAATTGCAGACTACGTTTTTTTTCAAGCCATGTCTACAACAACAAAACAACAAATGTTTAGCCCAGTCACACTACCAAAATGTTGCTTTGGAGCCTGGAGATATAGATGTTGATGAATCAATCTTTGTGGATCAATCAAACTTTAGGGTTGCAATCTGATAAGATGTCTGCGTTAATGCAAAGTGAATAAAACATATTGTCAGTTGGTGACTTACACAGGATGAGTTATAAACCAAGTAAAATAGGATTGTTCCGAAACCATATCTGAACTGCCTCTAATACAGCCTGGAGGCTGGATTAGGTATGCACCGAGGCATTATGAAATATAGTATTATTTTAACTTTTTTTCCCAGGATGGTGAAGTCATGACTCACCCTACTCTCTGAATGGCTTACCCTGATATTCTCACCCTAACCAATCTCACTACTCATGCCTAAAATAACCAACCCTAACGAACAAAGGCAACGAGTACTAGCCAACTGGAGTCAGAGCGCTGTGCTGCCACTGGGTACTGGCAACGACTATTTAGGGCGGCAAAGAAAAGTTTATTTCTGGTAGCGTTAGCCAAAGCTAGCTAGATGTCAACAACTTGATTGACTGTCAAACTAGATAATAAAAGAAAGTTCTATGACATCCATTTTCTGTATGTGTTTGCTCATGTTTTACAAAGGGTTTTACCTGAGACAGGCCATACAACAATGATAGCAATCATACAGGGTATCAGAACATCTCTCAAGTAATAATAAACCCAGCTCTAACCTGCAAAGGCATTTTAGTTTTTTTGTTTAAAACCCCTGTGAGTAATTTCAGCCTTCAGTGCCTCCTAGTGGTAGCATAAAAAGAGACACTATGTTGGACAGCAATGCACGCCAGTATCCACTCTATGTCGTTCTGACTTATATTCCTGTTTTAACCTCCGTTGCTCTTTTTGCAGGCGGAAAAGACGAAACTTCAACAAGCAGGCAACAGAGATCCTGAACGAGTATTTCTACTCACACCTCAGTAACCCCTACCCCAGCGAGGAGGCTAAAGAGGAGCTGGCAAAGAAGTGCGCCATCACAGTTGCCCAGGTACACCAGAGATCAGTGCCACCCCACACCATACACCACCTGTAGGAATACAAATTTACACAGAACAGTGACACCAACACAATTTCTCATCTAAAGCAGCTGTGAGCAAGTTTTGGCAAGTAACCTAATAATACATTTTCTGACTGTCATGAGTACAGACAGCTCCTCTAATCTTTTAGCAGTACCTTTCACTGAGACAACAAAGGACTCAAGTATAAATATGCCATGTCATAAGTTTGTTATTGTAATTCAAACCAGACAAAGCTATTTTTGACCAGTGTGTTTGTTTCTATTGAAGTAACGCAAGCTAAAGACAACACTGCTGTCACAGTTCTTCATATAGTGGAACAAGTTTTCTTAGAATGCACAAAATATGCAAAATCACTTCTTTTGATAATCATTTAAAAAAAAAAAAGTATTTGTTTCATATCATGATAAAAATGAACGTGTTAATTAATTGTGATATAGTATACAGTATATGGAAGTAATTAGCAAGACCATTAGCCTCTGAAAATTAGCACTGCAGTCATTTGATGACAATGATGATTCGCTATAAATCACACAGTAACTTACCATCTAAAGACACTTGTGATGATTGTGCCAATGCTGCTGACAAGCAAAAAGAGAAACCGTTTAGGCACCTTGTTTTTTTTTTTTTTAATCTTTGCATTCTAGCGCTCAAGTTGTCTCAATTCTGTGAGAATTGATAATAAGGAAAGCAATGACAACACCAAGGTAAACAGCAGTTTGTGTTTTGAATCCATCATTTGGGAATGGATTGTTTTCTCAATTGGTTTCATTAATTTATACCAAGTGATTTGAGGATGCATCTGGGCCTGATTGTGGGAGCTGCTCAGCGGCTGAATGATTTGTAGAGTTTCTGTTTCTTGGCCATAATAAAGGAGAATGTTTACCTACTCTGTGTATTGGAAACTTTGCAGGATTGATTCGGTTTTCATTTTAATGTTGTTTATCATTAGCGCTGGGATTACCCCCCTGGCTTCATCTGGGAGTCCATTAGCAGTAATGGGTGTTAGCGGATGTTGACTGATTGGTGCTTGCGTGAGTTCTGATGATAGCTGCAGTCATGGTGACATAATGAGACTGTTATTGGCAATCATTCCATTCTGGCACTAATGCGGATTCGCAGCACCAGTCTATGTAGCCCCTACCTCTGACAGAGGCTCTCTGCAGTGTTTCACATGCCATTAAGGCCATGCAAGCTACCCTGATCTCTCTGAATGCTTGCCCTCAAATGTGGAGAGGCTCTGTGTGTTAAGATTTCACGAGGATTAAACTACGTTCTCTTGTTTTTCTGCTCAGGTTTCCAACTGGTTTGGGAATAAAAGAATCAGATACAAGAAAAACATTGGTAAGTTCCAAGAAGAAGCCAACATGTACGCTGCGAGAACTGCCGTGAATGCGGCTAATGCATCCTCACATGGAAGCCAAGCAAATTCACCCTCAACTCCAAACTCTGCAGGTGAGACAGGAAGTCCCTGGCTCTGCTCAGCTATTAGACATGTACCTCCTCTCTGTGCATTACTACAACTAAGCAGCTATTGCAGTATATCAGTTTGAGGCTATTTCATTGCTGGTGCTGGTGGTTTGTAAGGAATGAAAAGATTTAGCACTAACCAAAAGGCAGTTCTTGTACAAGGAACATGCCTATCACCTGATAATGCACCATTATAATATTAAACAGGTCAAACTTTTCCCCTTAACAAGTACAACTGCCACTCTAGAGCAAAGCTGTGTCAGAGATTAGCCAACCTGAGCCCCATACCAAGTCTCCCTTTGCTTACTGTCCTTTTGTCTTCATCTCAATTAATCATATTCTACATCTATTTAACTCTGTGTTCATCATGTTCTGCTCTACTGACATTCAAGGATAGGTCTGGTGATATTCTGCACTTCTTTCTTATTGTCAACATATCATATAAAAAGACAGAACCAACAATGAATTGACTCTACTAACACGTAATGCCTGATATATCTTATTCCTCTGTGCCATAGAGCTCCATTGATGTCCAAAAACTATTAAAAACACATCAGTGAGTCAAGCTGTTGTAGTGGGTGTTCCCTCATTACTGTGAACATGGCCACTGTAGTTTCTATTAAGTCAGTCTCACATGTGGGTATATAGGGCAGGGAAGTCAGAGAGCACTGAAAGATAAAGTATTGGTCTTTTTATGAAGCTTGTTGACAATAAAAAATAAAACTAGAATAATGCTGGCCTTATCTGTTACTGACATAGTCCTTTATTTTTTAAGAACAGGAAACGTGTAGCCTAGCATAGAACAAGTATAGGAAGCAGGGTTAGATCTGTAAAAAGTGAAGAAATATACACTTAAACCACTCCGAAGCTCATTTATTTACGTGTTGTATCCTGGAGTACCAAGTAGTCACCGAATGAACTCAAAAGTCCCGCAAGTTTTGTTGGAAGCTGCTTTTTGTCACATTTGACAGAGCTAGGCTAACGGTTTGCCCCTGCGTCCTGCTGAGTGCTTGTACTGAGCGAGGCTGGACACATCCTGAGCCTACTGCCTACCCAACTCTGAAATCAACTGTTAGTGATAATTCCACCCTGGGTAGGACAGCGTGAGGCCATAAGGACTGCTTTTTCAATTCTTCTTTCTTTTTTCCTGGTTGTAGCTCAGCCATGAATAACCTCTTAAGAGCACTAATACTATGTGCTTATTTCTGTGTTTGGAGGTTAAAACTTCTACTCGACTCAAACACCTCTTGTGTCGGGGGAGACAGCTGTATCTCTTCTGTCCTCATGTGTCCATTAGTTTCCTCTTGGCTCTGTTTCATCTAACAGAGCCTGTCTGGCTGCTAGCTAACCTCTGCATGGTGCTGCTCCGGGCTGCTGCCTGGACCAGCCAACTTGCTTAGCCTGCTTGCTCTCTGTCTCTCTGTGATTCGACTGCTCCCTCTCTCCTTTCAGGTTCTGCTGGCTCTTTTAACATGTCAAACTCCGGGGACTTGTTCATGAGCGTGCAGTCTCTCAATGGGGACTCGTACCAGGGGGCTCAGGTGGGAGCCAACGTGCAGTCTCAGGTAGGGCCTTGAGCAGCGCAGCAGATAATACAGGGGCAGGCCCACCTCACTTCCCAACAGACCTTTCTCACAGCAGACATTTTTACACAGGTGTAACCATTGTCATTAATTAGACTAATGCACCATTTGTTAGCGTTTGCTCTTACTTGCTAACAAGCCGCTACAAATGTAAAACATGAATCAGGCTAATTTAGGCTAATTACTGAGTATGCTGTGACTGCTCGGCTAGCAATGGTGGTGACCGTTTGGAACAGTGCATGCTGTTAACCCATTCTGCCAACACTGCATGAAACTGTCTTACTAACCTAGAGTTTACAAGCCTTGCTAGCATGAAAGCAGTCTTGTTTGTTCATTGTTCCCACGTTGATTCAGCTTCATTTCCAGCGCATATTTTTTTACCCTTCTCATACACACCTCCATTGCAGTATTCCATAGACATATATATATATATATATATATATATATATATATATAAGACGTTGCACTGACTGGTTCAGCTCGCTGCTGCAAAAGTCAATATCACCGCCATATTGGACCAGACAACAAACAGCAAAGTAAACAGGGGGAGTTGCGTTTTTTTCTTGATAAAACGTTTTATGTTTCTAATATTAAAGGGTAAAAAGGGTGTAAACACTGGAGTGCATTTCATAGAGAAAAAAATGCAGCTCCCCCGTTTACTAGCATTTGTTTACAGGCTCATCTTGCCCGGTCCAATATGGCGGCAAAATAGATGTATGATCCAAAGGCCAATGTATGTGTTTGTGTATATGTGTCTAAGAGTGCTTTTACGTTGCAAAAAGGGGAGCCAACATAAGAGTTTGAACTAGCTAGCTTACTTAGACCTGAATGAAACAGAGCCGTCATTATGTTCTGTTATACCTGTGCCTTTCCCGCCATGTCAGAATGTCTGTTGGGAGAAAGGACCATACAGGCTTGTACTGGCTCCACTATACAGCTTCTTCACACTCTCAAGGGAAATCTATGTGAATAGATTTTATTTCAGCGAAAAGCAAACGTTTTTTATCCTAAATTACCTTTTTGTTTGATTGGACCTTATTGTCTCCAAGGATATACTTGCAGCAGTGTACTCTTGTTGTCTCTCTTGTCGTCTTGTCATCCCTCTCTCTTTTCTTCTGTGCTTCTCTTGTCTCGACTCTGACCTTGCTTTGTTTGTTGTTTCTGAATGTTTCAGGTGGATACCCTTCGCCATGTTATCAGTCAGACAGGCGGATACAGTGAAGGACTCACGGCCAACCAGATGTACAGTCCGCAGGGCATCAATGTAAGGATTCTTCTTTTTTTCTTTCTTTCTCTCCCTACCAATTATTTCAAAGCCATAGGGCTCCGAATGCCACTTAGTAGGACTTGTCTCTGCTCCATGGTCACCTAGTTGATTGCCTCTGTATCGCTCGCGCCATGGGCAGCACGCTGCCCAGCGTATGCAGTCGTGGGGCCGGCCACACACATGCAGAGCCGCCGTCTGAGCCTGTCATATTGGATCAGGTCTGGCGTAGCACCTGCAGCCACGTACAGTCAGCCACGAGCGAACTGCACAAACAGGTGACACCTCCTGCACTGGACTTCAAATCCCTCTGACCACCTGACCTGTGATTAGCAGCCCAGGGGCCAGAAGCTCCCATTAAAGCCTCCCAGGAGACAACAGCGCTGGCCCTCTAAAAATAAAACCTTGCGCCGCTGGAAACAACTCTTCATGTGCCGTAGGGGTGTGTTCCCCTCATGTTTGTCTTATTTTGCTGCAGAGTTCGGGTATTGAAGTGGGGGTTGCAGTGGGGAGGGGTTGGGGGTTTGCGCGCTGGCGGCTGCAAACAGTAGGGAAATTCACAGCGACAAGCCGTGTCGTAAAGGGGAAAATCGATAAGACAGACACAAGGAGAGCAGAGTGTGGACTTGGGACAGCAATCCAAGCGCATTGCTCAGATCATGTTCCTGCCACACTAATGGCCCTGACAGCGAGCCGCGCTGAGAGGACGAGGACGGTCACAGCCGCGGCTGGGTTCCTCCGCTGTTGTCGTCGTGCCTCAGTGGCCATATGATAATCAGATGAAATGTCTCCCGTATAAAAACATGTATGTGTATTCAAATAGGCTTCCTGGCCGCTCCGAGCGCATCCCACAGCCAGCTGTGCTAACCCTGAGAGGCCACTAACGTATTCAGGCCCTGTTCTTTCTCAGTCCTTTGACCTCACAGATACGGTTCTCCTTGGACGCCTGCTTGCTCTACCACAACTTACACTGCCACAATATGCTGTGTTATTCACTTTTATACCCTGTAAAGAAGCCCCGCAATGCATAATGTAAGAGCGGGATATCTGTCTGCCAGGCTGTTTGCCTGTGATTTATGTAGCTGAGGCTAGTAGGTTAGGAATTCTGGCTCTTCACTTGCTCCTCAGTTTTGTTTGATGTATTTTTCCAAATATTCTGTCAAAGTTGTTAATCTTCTGTATGTCATCAGGGTTTCTCGACCATTACCAGCCTTCATTTAAAGTTTTAGATTTTTCATTTTTGTTTTAGATATATCTAAAAAGGTCCAACACATCACCCTTAGAGGTCTGAACACTGAATCAGACAAATTAGGTGTTGCATTGTTATTGTTAATTAAACAAATGTATACCCTGTATCCTTGAAAACAGTTTTCCAGGCATCTGAAGACAGATTTTATGAATGAAGAGTGGAACAAAGAATCAGAGTTGAAGGAAACATCTCCTCTGAAATAGAAAGACTGGATAATGACTGTGCAGATACATAATGCATGTTTTGGATCATTACGGCCGTAATTACAATTTTGAAACAGGCAGAGCGTCACAAAAATCAGACATTCTACAATCTGACCCCTCCACTTTTGATTACACACTACTGTCTGCTGCCTTAAATAACAGGCTTTGAAATGAAAGGCTGTCGAAGACCATTTCCAGTTTTTCTGATGGTTTTAAATGTACTATTAATATCCTAAATGCTCTTTAACAGCCCTGTCTCTGGTAGTGGAACAGCCCTCCATAGCCCTTATTGTATGTTAATTCCTGCTGTCAGCGTCATAATTAGTGCATATGACATTGATTGCACTTGTTTTGTTTCAGAGGTCTTCTCATACAATTTACATATATTATTCATATTATTTAAAATGGCAGTGACAGGCATTTATTTTAAGATAAAATCTTGTACAGCTTGACTTTTCTTCTGTGTGTTTTCTTCATTATATGAATTTGAGTGTGCAGTGTATGACGGACCGTAATTCACTCCATTTCTGCTTGGTTGGAAACATGATTTTATTTTTTTCGTGTCAGTCTTATTCTTAAAATTATAGTCTGAGCCAGGTTAGCCTTTCCTCCAATCCAGGAGGAAATTTGGCTTAGGGCTGTGACAGCTAAGTATCCCAGCATTCCATGCTGCATTCATACGTCGCCCTCAGGACTTCCATTTGTTGTACCTCACTGTGTGACCCAGCTGCATTGAGTAATGAATATGAAAGTAATAGACCCCCCCCCCACTGTTTCTCTCTTTCTTTCCTCTCAGGCAAACGGTGGCTGGCAGGATGCTCCGACCCCCTCATCAGTGACTTCACCCACAGAAGGACCTGGAAGCGTTCACTCCGACACCTCCAACTGATCCTCCACCCCCACCTCCTTCACTCCTCCGTCCTCTGCTCCCCCTCCGCCACTGCAACCCCAGCCGTATCTCTCAAGACTTAAGCTCAAACCCCATCGGGACTGGACGTGACGTGCTGTATGTAGTCACGCGGCGGGGACACAGTCGGGGTCTTGGATGACATTTCCACCACTACGGACAAATATTTCACTTTTTCCTATCTGGACCACGGCAGCACCGTTAGCAGCCTGCGTAGGGGACTCATATCCACACTTCACAGTTTGTACAGTTTCCACTTGATGTCCATGTTGCCTCTTTGTATTTCTCTTACATTATGTATTCACACGGTAGGCACACAGTTAGCAGCAAAAGCCCCACGTCTTGTAAATTGAAATTCTTTCACACTACCTCTATTCGAAATAACAACAGAGAAAACAACGCTTCGGTTTTACAAATTTTTATAATTATTGGAATTTACTGCAAACCACACCATGCCCTGTCATTACACCTCTGTCTTTATTACTGTGTTCACACATTTTGTTTATCTACAGTGCCAAAGTTCAACCCTGGAGGTGAATTTTGATATATTACATTACACATCACATCCTTACATTTTTCATGCCATGCTTTGTGAAGTGTTATCACGTTAGTCCAGTCATAATAGTCAGGTAATATCCAAGTATTCAACCTCGATTTATATAGTTTGTATTCAGAACTTCTGCAACAGACAAGGACATGTAAGGCATTTTATATTTTATTGCCAGAGTAGTAGGTTTCCTGCTCATATGCAGTACAATGATGCAAATTCTTACGCAAGCAATTAACATAACGAGTGTGACTTACAAAGAGAGTTGAAGTTCTGTCATGCATGTCGGCATCCACAATATTCAACCAAAAATTGACCTGAAACACTAAATCGATGACAACGTTAGCAGCAATTACGGCATGTCAATATGTAATAAAGCACAATAACGCCTAATGATTGAACTCAAGGGGTGACATTTGTAAATGTCAGGGAGAAAACAATACAGAGGAAATTTTAAGATTTAACTATAGTAGTCATATATGAGAGAAAGAGAGTGTACATACAGTACATTATCAGGCAGTGTGTATCAGAGAGGTCAATATAGCCAAATACTGCTGGTAACCAAATCCAAAACAAAAAAATTGTAATTCTCATTTTAAGGTAACGTGTTGTCGGGATTTAACACATTGCATGTATTTTCTCAGAATTCACTTTTAATTCATGGAATTATATTTATGTCATAATCCATTGGAACACCATGGGACATTTTGAGTGCAGAATAGATTTGCTTAAAATAAAATGATTCTTTAAACAACAAGGATAAGAATTTCTCTACACATTATACTTTGTACAATATCCCATTGCAAGCTCAGGATTGTGAGACAAATATAACTCCATATGCATTCAGTGCTGAAAAAACTTGAGGTTACTCATCCCGTAACCCCTGTTCTCTGCTAACACTAGCGACAACTACACTGTTTGTATTTCCGGTATCCAAGAGTCCATTCACTTTTTGTTTTCTTTTAAAATGACATTAAGAAACACCACATCCATCACCACAAACCAATCCAAAATGTGAAATTAAATTTGTCCTGTGTACAGTATAGTATGTGGTCTTAACATGTATACATGATTACAGTAGTCCTCATGTGATATCAGAATTTACATACTTTGATACCAAAAAAAATGGCAGAATTTCTATCCTCCACATTGGGATCAGCTTTATTGACGTTTTCTTTTTCCTCTTTTTCGTAGGATTTTATTATCTACAGTACTAGTGAGCATCTCATAATGCACTAGTGCTCTGTATTCAAAGCCAAAAAAATGCAGTTGGAATACAGTACTGTTTATATAAATTAAAGTGGAAACAAATACCCTGATGGCACACAGATCCAGATAATGTTTGGATATATTTTTATGTCTCCATTTTGTGAATAACTCATTTCTTTTTCATTTGATATTATGTTGCTTTGCTACAGGCTTATGTTTCTTTTCTTTAATGCTACCATTATATGTGAATGAGCCCAAGAATGCTCTATATACAGTATGTAGATATGCACCTTTATTCTTTTTTTTGCATCTTGAATTTGGACAGCAGCCGTCTTAACACAGCCTGACGGAGTTCCTGCTGGATTTAAGTTGAAATCCTTTGTTATTTTGTACTCAGACCACCGAAAAACAAGCCTGCCTCCAAGGTGGCTACTGTCCGAATGAAGGTGACGTGAAAAGTTAGTGTTAACATTGCCCCCTGGCATTGTTTTTTTTTTTTTTTTAGCTTAACCGAACCCTTACAGAAAACAGAATTCAATCTGGAGACCCCAACCAGTCACAACACAGCCTGAAAACCACAGGTATTTTTTAACAGTTGTCAGCGTGTTTGTATTTATTACACATGTATGAAATCACGGATGTTTCAGAGCTACTGTCTGAAGGTCGACCACGGCACGATTACACCAAACAAACTCATCTTGGATCACCGGGAGCGGATCCTCCTCGACTCACCTGCTCAGTATTACAGTGGAGGGGCCGAGCAGTTGAAGTGATGCACAGAACCTGCCTCAGTCGTCTCTTCTGAAGTCATTGGAGTGAACTGACAGCACCGGCCATGCAAGGCAAAACACAAGGACTGTTTTTGCACCCCTCCGTTAAAAAAAAAAAAAGGCTTAACTCTACTTTTCACATTGCCTGTCAAATATTATCGAAGCTTCATGTAATGATGCTTTTTAGTTTTTGAATATAAAAGGAAAAGAGACATGAAAAAGAAAAATGAACAATTTGTAAAACATGAAATGTTTTATTTGTTGCATGTCTTTTTGTTCTTCAATAAAATAACGTACTGCAGTGTTTTGAATGTTAACTTCTTTTTTATAAGGATTTCAGAGTGAAACCGTGGAGCCTTTTTCTTGACAGGTTTTAACTTTTAAGATCTCTGCGTATGTAAAAAGGTATCAAATGGGAAAACTATTGTCTTTTTAATTACAATTCAAAACCTGTTTTCTGTGGAGAAAAATAGCTGAAAGGTGTAGGTTTTATGGTCTCTTAATTTGTACTGGCAATGCGTATCCCAAATAAATAGTTTCTTTTGTTGCATAAATTGCAGTTTTGTCGTTTTTCACGTGCTCTTGTCGAGCTTTTCCACTTTTGAGTTTTTCATCTCAAACTTGTGTGTGGGTTTCTCCTCCAGACTTTTGTAACAGGGTCAGGGTCAGGAGTCACTGTAGGATACAAGTTTACACGTTGTAGACTTGTCAGTCCAACACCTCTGGATAACATTGCACGTCTCACTTCCAACTATTCCACGGCACGCAGGCATTTTATCACCACTAACACAGCGCCGGAGCTCGGCCGAGCTGCCGAGGGTGTGAAGGGGACATTTTCACAGTTTTTGAAGTGAGTGAAAGCTGTGCGCTCCCGGCAGACAGCCACCCCTCCTCCCCCTCCCCTCCTCCCACCCTCTCCCTCTCTGCCTTCCCCACACCCAGCGCTCCCTCCGAGGCATGGTTAATGTGCGTTCCCTGGAAGAGGCGGAATCCACACTTATCTCTCTCCTCCAGATAAACCAGACAGGATGTCTGATTCTGCTCCTCCGAATCATCCGTCCCTGGGAAAGAAAAAAAAAAGAGGAGGAAGGGGTTGAAACATTAACTTGTGGATTAGGAAGAGGTTTCCCAGGAGCATCCAAAATCAGAGAGCGTGACAGAGACTGTGGGAGTGACATATGCAAACATGATCAAGTGTAATTACATGGAGAAGCCTCCTTGTTTCTATCAAAGGGCTTCTTTTAGCCACTGTCTGAGCAATGAAAGGCAAGAAGTGCCGGACGTGTATAATTTATTCATGTGCTCCTGCAAACCAAAAGGCATTGTGAGTCTGATTCAGTCATTACATGGTGAAAAGGTTGTAAATCCCATTCTGAGTGAAATCAGTGTACATTCTTTTGAATTCCTGATTCCTTTCAACAAACAGGCTGGATAACAAGCTACGCCGTGACAAATGCTATGTAGGTTTTTAGGAGGCTACACTGATCATTATCCATTTTATACGCTGAAAATATGCAAATCCAATCAGAAACTGAATCAGGACTTTCTGAAGTCTTTTAACCATTAACAAATGGATTGGCTGAAATATAAGGAAAAGAGTAATGGATCAAATGTACCCGACATTTTACTGACATTTGATACTCGATACCCAAGTAACCCATTCACTCTAAAATGTCAATTTTAAGGAATGAGAATCAGCTGGCAGGTGTTAATATTTCATTCTACAACAAGAAGCCATTCCCAGAAATCACTGATTTGATGATTTGCAAGTCAGAAGTTGCCTTGATGTATTTAACCAGCCTATGTCTGGTTGAAAGTTGGAAGTTTTTTCATTTCAATATTTATTTAGAAACTGGTTCACAGTGAAATGTTGCTATTTGAATGCAGTTGAAACATCAGTAACCTAAAAACCTTTCAGCTAAATGAGTGAATACTGGGTTAAGATAACAGTTCAAATGATATTCAAGAATACATTTGTGTTAATAACAAATCTGCAATGAAAGTTGAGGGAAATATCAAATAGTTTGACTCATTCCACTTATGTGGCAAAAGAATTTCCCAGGTTTTTGTGGATTTTGGAGAAGCACAGGGGTAAATAAGGACATGAATCACTGCTGGTCAATCAGGGTCGTCGCTACCACCGAGGACGATGAAGTCATGTTCTCTGTAATATTTCTGCAGGTTAAATGATATGAAGTGAAGTTTATATTTTACAATTACACACCTGCTGATTCTGATATGTTATGTAGACTAAATATGTTATATTTTGATTTGTTTACGGCAGCAAATAAATACGTTTTATAATAAATTATGTTATTTTATTAAGTTCAATTATATGTATTATTCTGCCTTTTGAAACAACATTTGTAGGGACCATAATGTAAGAAGTTAAACTTTGCAAAAAAAAATACGGGGGAATAGTTACAATAATGATAATAATAATAATAATACTCACAAAAGAGTTTAGTTGGCTAATTAAAAATGTCATTGTCTATTATGAGAAAGTTCAAGTTCAAAAGTAAGCTCTCCTATTGGGTGCCTCTCATCAATCTCTCTTTCAAAATCTTCTCTGTCCATTTGTCTCCTGCCTGCAGTCATGGGTATTACACCTTTACCTTTCATTGATTTGTCTGGTAACACAATATATCAATTCACATGGTAAGTGCCTTTTAGGCTGCCTTGCAGAGAGGCTCTGTGTCAGAATACAGTTTTACTGGTTAAACCAGAACTTACGAGTTCTGTTACAGAAGTAAGAAAAAAAATCAAAAAGTAAAACTACACTTTTTTTTAAAAAGTATGTTGTGTGGCTCACAATAAAAAAAATATATCATATAGTTATTTATTCAATATTAATGTTTTTAGCACCCTTTAATCAACACCATTTCCCATAAGCCCCAGAACTTCGAGAGGTGGAGGGAGTTGCGCCTAGCTCAGACAGTAATAACAGCAGAGATGATTACTGATGAAAGATTATTGTTTTTTTCATGGGAGCTGTAGTTTTATAGTCTTAGGTTTTCATTTCTTATAGCAGCTGCTGAGGTGGAGCTGATGTGTCTTGGAATATGGAAAGTAAACTTGAAAAACTAAAACTGATGGGGGCCCACAGCTCGTTTTTGCAACTGGGCCCCCTAGTGGGTTAATCCGGCCCTGGTTGTCACTCAAAGGGCAGACAACAACAGGCTGTATTGGAAGAGTTGGGAACGGCAGTACATACTTTCTGCTGGAGCTACATCAACTGAAAAATAACTCTTTTTGATGTGTTAAACCATGACGAGGAGGAGGAGGAGTTTTGTCTGGATTTTAGATTTGTAAAATGCTTTATTGCTGTTTTGCAAAGAGATAAAAATTCATTTTTTGGCAAGGGCACAAAAGCAAACATCAGACCCCTCACTCACACTGATGTGAGGGAAGAAATCAAAGCAGTGGATAGTAACAGGAAAAAAAACTCTTCTATCTTCTTTGACCTCCTCGTACAGCGGAGCCTTCTCATCACTGGAGTTTCATATCAATCATCCTCAACCAGACCACAATGCATGTGGCACATACAGTGGGGCTCAGGGCTCACATTATATCAATGACAATAACAAGGCTCATAAAGAGGCTGGCCTCATGCACAACGCATAATGTACATCAGTTATGTCAACGCCTGCCAGCATGAAACACACACACACACACACACACACACAACACACCACAGTTGCACACATGTGCCTGAGGGAAGGGCTACTGAAGCAGACGACGCAAGGTCTGAGGTCTGAGGGTACGACATAGGCTTCGTCTCAAGGAAAACCCTCTGCGTTAATATGATGAAACAAGTCTTCTCCTCCACTGATAGATCTCACGTTGCTCATAAAATAACTCCAAAGAATAAGGCTCTGCAGGAATAGGGTCAAGTAATTAGTGACTGTGGGTGTGTTCCAGTCAGTGTTTCAGATTTCAGATTTGGAAAGAGTTCAGTTTGGCAAAGACTTGCTGCTGGAAAGCCTCGGTCTCGTATTGCCTATGCCACCCACAGATCTCTAATGAATTCCTCTGATCCCAACTTTCATAAAGCAGGCATTTGGAGAAGATTTCACAGATCAGCGTGCGTCATCATTGCCTTTCAAGTTATTTCAACCGTAGAACATTTGAATTAGAATCTGCAGTATATTTAAGTGTTTGGGGTGTGGGAGTTTAAGGCTGTAAACTCTTTCTTTATAGTTGCCTAAAGCTTCCATAATGAGCAAGATATGGACCTTATCATGTTCTTCAATTATAGTGGGTGGGGGGGGCTCTTTAAAACTGTGCCAGGAGATGCTCTTATTAAAGAAGCGAGAAAGTTATCTCTCCAAAACATGAATCACAAAAAAGACAAAAAAAATAGTCTGCACTGATGATGGAGGACGTCACAACTGACAACGACAGTGGGATCTCTTGTGCCCATTCTCAGTGAGCTAATTTGCTTTGAGTTTGCGTCTGTGTTTTCATCTTCTTAAATGTTTTCCCTGCATTTCTGGACATGAAGTCATATGACACATTTGGTCACCGCAGTGTGTCGCTTTAGAGGGAAATCCTGTCTTTTCATAAGATAGCAATGCTGATTATGTTGTCAAGAAGGATTTATGTCAGGTGAAAAAAAAAAAAACGACCCAGTTCCCCCTGCTCTGTGTACCCTGCTATATGCTGTATATTGTAATTTAGGAGGCAGCTGTCATATTGAGTTTTCCCATTATCCGGTATGTACGGTGTGCCTCAGACTCAGACTGAACGCACTGGATGTGACTACACCAGCTCTCTCATCCCAAACACACACAAAAACAACCTTGATTTATGAATTCCAATTAATATTCAAATTAATAGTCAAAACAGAGGGCGGTTTAAGGAATTTGTTTTCTCGGGCCTCCAAACAGTGAAACACTGCTGACCTCTTGAGGGGTCTTTCAAAGGCAGGGAGCACTGAGGACAGAACCAGGAGTGGGGGTGGGGGAAAAGATTTGATAAAGGGTTTGAAAGTCTGAAGGCTGTTAGTCAACGGATATTAATTATACGTTGTAGACTAAAACCTTTATTTTATGTCTTTTTAAGCAGATTACATAACATAAAACCTGTAGAAAAAACATTTAGACACTGCACTCTAAAAGGTCAGAACATGCATGCAATACTAAATAGGCCTATAAATGACTAAATAAATGAAATTCATAAATTAGTCTTTAATTAAAGACATGTGATTTAAAGGATCAGTGTGTGGGATTTAGTTGCATCTAGTCGTGAGGTTGCAGGTTATAACCTCCTCGACACACCCTCCTGTTCCAAGTGTGTAGGAGAAACTACGCTGGCTGGGAAATTCGCAAAAGACATGATAGGTCCTATCTACAGCCAGTGTTTGGTTTGTCCGTTCTGGGCTTCTGTAGAAACATGGCGGTTCAACATGGCGGAGTCTGTAGAAGAGAACCCGCTCCTACTGTAGATAAAAAACATCTCATTCTAAGGTCATTGCTAAGCTCACTAGCTGTTAGCATGACTAGTTCATGTAGTGTTGATTTTTTTCTTTTAAGCACGGTCTTATTCGTGTCAA